CATAATAAGGCCATATATGAAAAACCTACAGCCAGCATCATACTCAACGGGCAAAAACTAAAAGCTTTCCCTCGAAGATCAGGCACAAGACAAGGGTGTCTGCTTTTACCACTTCTATTCAACATAGTATTGGAAATCCTAGCCACAGCAATCAGACAAGAAAAAGATATAAAAGGGATCCAAATTGGAAAGGAGGAAGTAAACTGTCATTGTTTGCAGATGACATGATAGTGCACATAGAAAACCTTATAGACTCCACCAAAAAACTACTCAATCTTATAAGTGAATTTGGCAAAACAGCAGGATACAAAGTCAATATTCAGAAATCGAAGGCATTTTTGTACACCAAAAATGAAATATCAGAAGCAGAAATCAGGGGGGGAAATCCCATTTGCTATAGCAACAAGAAAAATAAAGTACCTACAAATAAACTTAATTGAGATAAAAGATCTGTACTCAGAAAACTGAGAACACTGAAGAAATTTAGAAAGACACAAATAAATGGAAGCACATAGCAGGTTCATGGAATGGAAGGGTTAAAATCATTAAAATGTCCATACTTCCCAATGCAACTTACAGATTCAATGCAATCCCTATCAAGATACCAATGACATATTTCACAGATATAGAACAAATATTTCAAAAATTTATACAGAACCATAAACAACCCCAAATAGCCTCAGCAATTTTGAGAAAGAAAAACAAAGTAGGAGGGATCACAATATCTGATGTCAAACTACATTACAAGTTCATTGTAATCAAAACAGTCTGGTACTGACATAAGAACAGACACATAGATCAGTAGAACAGAATAGAGAGGCCAGAAATAAATCCAAGTCTCTGTGGTCAATAATTGACAAAGGGGGCAGGAGCATAAAATAGAGTAACGATAGCCTCTTCAATAAATGATGTTAGGAGATCTGAACAGCTCCATGCAAATAAATAAATGAATGAATGAATGAAACTAGCCCTCCAATTTACACCATGTAGAGGACAGTGAAGGCTGGTGTCAAAGCCCAGGTTAACTGCTTGGCAAGGCCACGCTTGACCGCTTGCATCTGCAAGGCAGCAGCCCGAGCCTGTGAAGGTTGGGATAGTTAACTGCGAGCTTCAGCCGAATGCGACTACAGCCTTGGCAGAAGAAAGTTTTATCATTTAGGCAGCCTGGGAAACGAATAATCTTTCCCTGCAGCTGTAGAAATGTCCTTGAACTTCATCTAGCCAACCCCCGTAAAATAACACAGGGACCATGCTCGGGGTCATTGTCTCTCCATCCGAGGACAATGCCCCACCCGGCCCCTGCTTTTCTCTAAACTGTCTTGTGTTGTGTCTTTGTGTTGCGTTGTCCTTTTCTCAATCTCCCATTGCCTCCCCTCAGGGACCACCACTCCACGCGGGTCACAGCAACATCATACATCAAAATAAATTTGAGATGGATAAAAGACTTAAATATAAGTCATGACACCATAAAAGTCCTAGTGTAGAACTTAGGCAGGAAAATCTCAGATCCCACAAAGCAATATTTTCTCCAATACATCCCCTAGGGCAAGGGATGTAAAGGAAAGAATAAACAAGTGGGACCTCATCAAAATAAGAAGCTCCTGTGCAGGTAAAGAAAACATCAACAAAATGTAAAGGGAACCAACCATATAGTAAAACATATTTGCCAATGATACCTCAGACAAGGGTTTGATCTCCAAAATATATAAAGAACTCATACAACTCAACACAGGAAGACAAACAATCCAATTAAAACATGGACAAAACATCTTAATAGACACTTCTCCAAGGGGGACATACAGAAGGCCTGTATGCATATGAAAGGATGCTCAGCATCACTAGCCCCCAGAAAGAAGCAAATTAAAACCACACTGAGATACCTCTCCACACTGGTCCGAATGGCTAACATTAACAAATCAACCAACAAGTGCTGGCAAGGTTACGGAGAGAAGGGAACCCTAGTGCACTGTTGGTGGGAATGCAGACTGGTGCAGCCACTGTGGGCAACAGTATGGAACTTCCTCAAAAAACTAAAAATGGGACTGCCTTTTGATCCAGCGATTCCACTGCTGGGATTATACCCTAAGAATCCTGAAATACCAATTCAAAAGAACCTATGCACCCCAATGTTCATAGCAGCATAATTTACAATAACCGAGTGCTGGAAATAGCCTAAGTGTCCACCAGTAAATGAATGGATAAAAAAAACTGTGGTTCATTTACACAACTGAATACTACACAGCAGGAAGAAGGAGCTCATATCCTTTGCGAGAGCATGGATGGAAATAAGCCAGGCAGTAGAAGACAAATACCATGTGATTTCACCTATAAGTGGAACCTAAACAACAAAACAAACAAATAAGCAAAAACAACAGGAGACATGGAAATACAGAACAAACTGACAGTAACCAGAGGGGAGGGTAGAGGGGAATAACAGGGTAAAGAAGGGGGTGGGTCAAGTCAAGGAACATGTTCAAAGACCCACGGTGAAGGACAATGGTGTGGGGATTGTCTTTGGGAGCAGGGGTTGGATGGGGTGGGGGAGATCAATGTGGGAATAAATGGTGACAACTGTAACTATACAATAATAAAAAGTATGGTCTGGAAAAAAGGTGCCCATCTCATAATCCCTGGAGCCTGTATTCCCTTATCTGGCAAATACTTTGTAGATGTGATTGTTTTAGTATACTGAGATGGGGAGATTATTTGTATTATCCAGGTGTGCCCTAAATGTCATCATTCTTGATACAGACAAAAGAAAAGAAGGCAGTATCATAACTGAATGCAGGTTCGCCTACCTGCCACAAAAAAAAAAGCCAAACACATGAGACAGGTGCTGGTAAAAAGGAAAGCGGTTCACTCAGATACCAGCATTCTGAGAAGGTGGGGACTCTTGATCATCTTCACACTGCAGTGCAGACACAAGTGTTTATAAGAAGTGAGAGGGAAAGCAGAAAAAGAGATCAAGGGGAGGGGTTAAAAAGTTCTCTATGTGCAGACCAGTACAGTTCATTCCAATAAGGACCTCAAAATCGGTGAATTTTCTGCTGTCCCACTGTATAGTTGAAGGTTAGCAAATGTCTCAATCTGAGGTGACTGAAGGTCCAAGTCTCTATCTTTTGAAGTTAGTTCCTAGGATTCTTATACAAACATGCTGTGTATCTATAACCTACATATTAATCAGAGTCAATATTGACAGAAACAATGTCAAAAGAATGGTGGATGGGTTAAATTCTTCACTCTTAGAACATGACCAGGGAGACAGTGATTCAATGATGTGGCCACAAGTCAGGGAATGCTGGCCAAAAGAAAACAAGGATTCTCCCTAATATGGACATCTGATACTAAAATTTCTGGACTCTGGAACTGTGAAAAAAGAAGTTTGTTTTCAGCCACCAAGTTTCTGGTGATTTATTACAGCAACCACAGAAAATACATATGGGTGGCTTGGAGTAGGGTTTTTAACAGCAGAGAGGCCCAGAAGTGATTGGATTCGAGATTTGTTTTTGGAGACAGCATCAACAGCACTAACTGATGTATATAAGGTGGCGATATCATAGAAGAGCCCAGAATGATTTCCAGGTTTTTGTTCAGTGCAAGTGGGTGGCTGATGGCAACATTACTGAGATGGGGGAGGGGGCAAGAATTATTAATAGTCGTGTCTGAGAAAATATCAAGTAGCATGTATCGCTGCTAAGTTCATAATTCAGTTATCTGTGGAGAGTCCAGCAGTCAATTAGATATGATTGTGGAGCTAAAAGGCTAGGTTGGAAATATAAATCTTGGAGTTATTAGTTGTAGTTAATTAAATCCATTAGGCCAAGTCGATAACCGAAGAAGAGAGAAGACTTGGTCCAAGGACTGAATCAGGGGACCTTCAATCTGTGTTTCAGTGGGACAATAGAGGACGGTCCAACAAAGGAAAGGAGGACCCTCCGCAGGAGGGTGCGAAGTCACAGAAGCGAGGGGGCTGTGGAGAGAAATATCTACATCATCACATGTTTCTCTAACGATGGAGAGGCAGAGAACTGACTACTGCCTTTGGCAACGTGGGCACCACAAGCAGCCTTGAGAAGGCAAGGAAAGCTCCGTTAGTCTATTGCAGAAAGTATGGCAAGTGAAGAAGGATCCCTAGCGAATCGAGGCAACTTTTCTGAGAATCCGTGATATGGCTGGTAGAGGCTTTGGGGTGCAGCGAGGGCTCTAGTTGCTTTTGAAGACAGCTTATTCGCCAGCTCGTGTTTGTCAGTGTTAACGGGGAAGGCAGAATTTACGGGGAAATACAGCTGGGGAGGCATCACCACTCACTCAGTACATTCAGTACACTGGGTACTCACTACCCAGGTCAGCGCACCGTTTCCCCAAGCCTTTGGTCACCAGGCGCGCGCCACCAAGGTGACGTCAACTCCCGCCACTCCTTGCACTACAGTACACCGCGCGCGCGATCTGCGTAGGAACCCACAGCTCCCGGCAGTCGTTGCGCGGAGCTACAGTGCGCAGGCGCGCGTCACACTCCTCCCCCGCCTCTTCCTCCTAGGCCAGGACTCCAGTTCCGGGCGGGGGCCAACGACACGCAGAGGGACGGGTTGCTCTTAAAGGGGAAACGGCGGCGACGCACGGGAGGTGGGCCCCATCCTCTCGCCGCTGTCCGCCCGCGGCGGCGCAGGCGGTGGGGCTCAGGTAAGGCAAAGCCGGGCGCGCGTTCGGGCCGGCCCGTGGGGGGCCTTTGCAGTGTCCGGTCCGCGCCCTGTACGCGTTACATGCTGCGGCCCGAGACCGGGCAGGGCGCCCTGCAGAACCCCGGCCCGGCTACGATGACCCGACTATGCCGAACGCCCCCAGCTCGGAAGACGCATCCTTGCAGTTTACATTGTTCCCCACCCGGCTCCCCTCCCGGGAGGAGTTCCCCAAGAAAGGCCCATGCCCCTTTCTGCCACTCCTGCCCCTCATCCGCAGCGAGTGCTATGGTAACAGTTTGGTCCTGCCCATCCCCCGCGGAGGCCGCCCGGGCGGGTCAGGTCGGCCCACGCGCGTCCTCCGTCTGGCAGGCCCCGGGCCCATGGCTGCTTCCCCGGCGGACGCGTCCCGCAGGCGGCGGGAGAAGCGGCGGCAGCTCGACGCGCGCCGCAGCAAGTGTCGCATCCGTCTGGGCGGCCACATGGAGCAGTGGTGCCTCCTCAAGGAGCGTCTGGGCTTCTCCCTGCACTCGCAGCTCGCCAAGTTCCTGCTTGACCGGTTAGGGCCAGACGGGGGTCGGGGGTGGGTGTTACCCAGCGCCCCCCACCCTAAGTGCTGGCCCACTACTCCTATCTACTGGCCCATTTCTCACTTCAGCAGTATGGCCTGTGAGCTTTGCGGCCTGCCGGGGTCCTGCCGCACCCCTCCTGGTCCCCGGCGAATAGGGACCCCTTGTAGGACTTGCCCCTTAACTGTGTGAGTGCCTATAGATGAATGCACTTGTCCGGCTAGGCCCTACCTGACCTGCTTCTTGTCTCTCTGGCAGGTACACTTCTTCAGGCTGTGTGCTCTGTGCAGGTGGGTAGTTAATGGGTAGCGGAAGGGGCTCAGGAGCCACAGAGGGCAGCGAGTGGTGTGACCTAGGAACGCCTTCTCCAAAGGGGTTGGATCAGAGGGAACCCCGAGCGAATTTGAGGAGAGGAGTTGGGGAGCCCAAGGCAGTTAGATGGGAGCAGCCTGTGGGGAAGGGAGGAGTTGCTGAGGACCTTGAGGGTCAGGGCTCTGAGGAGGGGTAAACTGGACTCAGGACCACGGTTGCCCGGGCATGTTGAGGGGCAAGACTGTCTGGGTATGGCTCTCAAGGGTGAGAGTAAGGGGCAGCCCAGCTTGTCCTGACTGTCACCTTCACCCCTTTAGGTTCCAAGCCTTTGCCCCCCAAAGGTCTGCAGTATCTGGTTCTGCTCTCTCATGCCCACAGCCAAGAGTGCAGCCTGGTGCCCGGGCTGCGGGGGCCTGGGGGCCAAGATGGTGGGCTTGTGTGGGAGTGCTCCGCAGGCCACACCTTCTCCTGGGGCCCCTCTTCAGGCCCCACACCTCCAGCGGAGTCCAAGCCAGCCCTCCTTCCAAGCACTTCCCAGAGAAGCTGGTGCCCAGAGGCCAGGGGTGGGCAGGAGCCTGCAGGTAGGCTGGGGAAAAGGAGTTGTAGAAAATAGGAAAGGAAAAGGGTTTCCATCTCTAGACCTCAGGACCCTACTCTTTAAAATCGATCTTTTCTTGATGGAAAAACCATGCTGTCAAGAGAATATATCAAAATGCAAAATAGGATGCCTCATGTGTATTTTGGTGGGGAAAAAAGGGGAGAAAGTACTTTTGAATGAACGAAGTATCTCTGGGAGGGCAAGTTGGGACCAGGTTGCTTGTGGGAAGAGGTAGGCCACTGGGGGACAGTATTGGAAAGGAGATTTTTCATATTGTACCTTTTTATACTTGTAATTTTTTTTGAACCATGTGAATGTATCATCTTTAAAATAAAATACCCTTTCCCACTCTAGTAGTCTCTGCCCCTTCCTCCTCCTCCTTTCTAAGAGTCCTCCGACGTATTCAGGCCTCAGAGTCCACCTGCCCTCATCCCTGCACCCAAAATCTCTTCCCCTTTGACTCCACCTGTGCCAACAGGTTTGGAATCTGAGCATGAGGAGAGGACTCAGGAGACGAGGTTGCTCAGGTGAGGTTGGGGGGAGGGACAAACTAGACCGGTGGACAATGGGGATGAAGGATCAGAACCTCAGGCTTGCCTTCTTTGCTCCTACAGGGGAATAAGACCCCCACCAGAGTTCTTTCTGCCCCCAGGAGAAGACGAGGGGGTTGATGAAGATGAGAGCGAAGAGGAGCTGCTCAGTGATGCCAGCCCATGGACCTACAGCTCTTCCTCAGACAAGCAAGTTGGGGCTGCGGGAAGCACTGCGCATAGCGGGAGGGCAGGGGCAGCCGGCAGGGACAGAGCTCTGCAGAGTTGAGGAAAGGGCTTGTTGGTGGGAGGGCGGAAGGAACTGGAGGGCTGCGATTGGGTGCCAAGGGGCGAAGGTAGGCTCTCGGGGGAGTGAAGTCTGAACACAGATGGGAGCGGAGGCCTGGGTAGGGCTGTTCTGAGTTTGGGATCTTTGCGATCTAGGGGCTGGGGCTGTCTGGGGGCCCAGGGAGATAATGTCCCCCTCTTCATTGTTTCAGCTGTGAGCCAGATGGCCCCAAACCGCCTCCTTCCCCTGTTACTCATGCACTTAAGGAAGGAGAGATAGCCGCAGCCCCTGCAGCTGCCCCCACTTCTCTGGCTAGGCCGCCCTCCTCAGCACCCTCGGTGGGTTCTGGAGCTTCTCTGCCTGTGGAAGGCAGGGTACAGCTGGAGCTCAGTCGGACCCCTCAAGCAGCCCAGCAAACTGAGCCCCTGGCCAGGTAACCTGATGGCTGAGACAGAGGGCAGGGGTATCCTGGGCCATGGCCCACCCTCGAGGCCCTCTGCTCCTTCTTTGCTGCTCGTAGCCCTGGGAGTCAGGCCCAGTCTTCTCTGGCTGTAGCCTGGGACGAAGACAGTGCACAGATCGGCCCTAAGAGAATCCGGTAAGACTGAGGGAGGGACTCTGGGAGGGGCTGAGAGGAGAGAGGGAGGCTGAGGAGAGCCTGCAGGAGTCTTCTTACTTCTCCCCATTCTCACCCCCAGGAAAGCTGCCAAAAAGGAGCTGCTGCCTTGTGACTTCCCTGGCTGTGGGAGGATCTTCTCCAACCGGCAATATTTGAATGTGAGGATGCGAGGGGCACAGGTTGGGCTCCTTGTGGCTTCAGGTGGAGGAGAAGGGCTGAAAGAGAAGCTGAGTGAAGGAGCCTGGTGTGCCGGGGAGTCCGGGATCAGGAAGAGAAGGGCCGGGGTGGCATGCAAAGCCTGCCTGCACTTAATAATCACTAAACCAAGTAACAGGTGGGGAAAGCAGAAAACACAACCGTGGACGCACAGCCACTGCCCACTACTGCTTGTTGCCTGGCCTCTGGGGATCACAGGGGACAATGGTGGCACCCTCAGGTTCCCTGGGGGATAGCGACGATTGTAAACATTTGACCTGTTGATCTTCACCATGTCTCTAAGGAGTAGGCGCTGATACCATTGCCACTTTCCAAATGAGGAAACCGAGGCACAGGAGGCTAAGCACTGCCCCAGGCTCCTCAGCTTGAGTGTATTAACAGTGCTGGGGATCCCCAAGTCTGGTCGCCTTCTTCACTGCAGGAGGAGTTTGAGGCACAGAAAGGGTAGGGCCCACCCCTAGACTCAGCCAGAGCCCTCGGGGCAGGTGTGGGGGCTGAGGAGGGCCCACACTGGGCCGGTGAGGTCAGGGGTGGACCCGGAGGAAGTAGCGGGAGGCGATCCCCAGGTGGCAGCAAAGCTCCATGCTTCAGACACTCAGCAGGGCTGGCGGGTGCACCTGAGCCGTTCAGGGAGCAGATGAAGCAGCCCCCGCAGCAGTTTAACTACAGAAAGTGGGAGTGTGGAGGGGAAGCCCATGTGATTTAATTAGGCAGGATATGCACCTGGGGTCACATAAGAGAAAACTACATCCCAAACGTACTTGGTGAGTTAAGGCTGAAAAACACACTACCCTAAGAATGTTTCAGGTTAGGAACGCATGTATGTATCCACTGCAGGTGTTGGAGAAAAACGTATGATGTGTACCCGTGGGGATCTCTCACCAAAAAGCAGGCCGTCTGGGTGGTGCTGTGCTTCAGTATGGATAGGGAAGAGGGCAACCATGCCCTCCCTCAGGCGGCCTGTCCCCAGCAGACAGCACATTCATAGTTCGGGAGCTGGGCATTGCAAGGGGAGGTGGTCGCCAGGAGCTGAGGTCACAGAAATGAAGGGCACCGTCGGATGGGGGCGTTTTGTGGCCTGGATGGGATGGTCGTGTGTAGGTGATGTGACCTGGCGGTGACCGTTTGGGGCAGGCAGAGGAGCCTGCCTGCTGCGTCCACCCCGGGGTCTCCCTGAGGAGGGCACGCCCTTCCTTCCGTAGCACCACAAGAAGTACCAGCACATCCACCAGAAGTCCTTCTCCTGCCCAGAGCCAGCCTGCGGGAAGTCCTTCAACTTCAAGAAACACCTGAAGGAGCACGTGAAGCTGCACAGTGGTCAGTGGGGGGAACGCCTCCTCGCCTAGCCCTGCAGGTCCCCTCACCTCCCCCCGCGGGGCCCGCCCGCTGCCTGCAGTGCCCATCACGCTCTCTGTAGGGGACTTCCACGCACTTCTCAGTGTGTTGGGCACGTGCCTGCCTGGGACCGTCGATGCTGGGACACCTCAGTGAGCAAAGCAGGCAGCCCTCACCTCGTGAGATGTCCAGTCACGTAGAAAGTGGAAGGCGTGTGGAAGCAGGGAAGTGAGGAGAGCACGGGGAGGGGTTGCTATTGTGCAAAGGGAGGTGCTCTGAGCAAAGACCTCAGCGAAGGGAGAAATGGAGACTTGTCCACCTCTACGGGCAATACGTGGGGAGGAGGAGGGGGCGGACAGGTGGTGGGGGTCCCAAGACTGCCATGAACATGGCCTGCCTCCGGGCCCGATGCGGTGGGCCTCATTTCAGGGTCCTGAGCAGGGAGGGGACGCAGCTGACTCTGAAGGGAAACGGGCTGCCGTTGGAGGAGGGGGTGGCAGCGACGGGCTGGGTGCCGCGGTGTCGGTCTGGAGGCTGCCGCAGGCGCGACGCCGGAACCAGGAGGGCTGCCCTGGGGAGCACCAGTTAGCACCCGTGGGACAGGCAGGGAGGAGTTGAGGGTGACTGGGAGGACCCCAGTCTGAACAACTTGGCAGAAGATTATGTGGTTTCCTGAGATGGAGACATTTTATTTGGGGTGTGCTAATTAGATATTCCACAGCATGTGAGTCTGGAGTTCAAAACAGTGAGGGAAAAAAATGTGTTTGTCACGAGCACATGGAAGGTGTTTGGAGCTGCGGGTGGCATGCACTTAGGGGAAGGAGTGAGCCTGGGTGACGAGCTTTGAGGAGGCAGGTGGGAAAGGCAGCTGCGGGCACCAGCAAGGCAGGGGAGGAAACTGGTATCTGTGGACCAAGTGCTGGGAAGGGGGCAAGGAGAGGGTTGTGCCCGTGCCGCAGGGCTGAGGAGGGGGGTGAGGACAGGCCGACAGACCTGGTGGGAAGCTGTCATTGACCAGATGGGAGAGATGACAGCCACCATGGAGCGAGCTCTAGGCAGGAAAGAAAGTGGAGACAATGAGTGTGGACAGTTCTTTGGGTTTTGCTGGGAAAACAAGCAGAGAATTGGAGCCTTAGTTAAGATGGCTGCGAGCTTGGAGCACAGAGATGGGACTGATCCCCTCAGAGAGGACAGGCTTGCTGACTCGGGTGGGGTGGGCAAGCTCTGGTTGGTGGGGGGGGGCGTCTCAGGCACAGTTCGAGGCAGCTGCAGAGGAGCAGGCGGCAGCCACACGTGAGGTAGATTTGGGGGCAGGATATCAGCGTTCTGTCTGGCGTCACTCCTGGTGACTTTCAAAAATGAGTTCAGCGGCCGGATGGGGCTGCTGGAGAAGAGGTGGTGCAAACACGGCTGGGACTCCAGAGAGGGGAGCGCTGGCTGACGGTGGAGCGCAGAGGCACGCGTGGGCCCATGAGGCTGGCAGTGGGCTGTTTCTGCGCCCCACCCCCCACCCCGTGCAGGCCTGGAGCAGGCCACGGGTTGTGTTTATCCTGCATTGGTTTTAGTCTAGCAGGTACTGCAGAGGGAGAGAGGGATTAGGGAGTCGGTGTGAATGAAGGACGGCCACACAGCCACCCTCGAAACAGCACTGGGCAAGGAGGGGCAGGGGGTGGCACTGGGCTGGTCTGGCAGCCTGGAGTCGTGGGATTATCACAGCAGGACACGGTGGAGTGTTGGAGCCAGCTCCCTGGCTGGAACTCGGATGGTTGAAATTGGGGTGATGGATCGTGTCTTGGGAGTGGTGGTTAAGAAGAGTAGGGGGCCAGGTGAGTGAAGGTCAGGAAACAGAGCTGAGCACTGGCCGGCCAACAGCAGGAGCGGCTGGAGAGAAGGCCTAGAGCCAGTATCGTATGGGGCACAGGGGAGGGATGGGGGCGAAGGCTGCTGGCGTGTGTGTGTGTGTGTGTGTGTGTGTGTGTGTGTGTGTGTGTGAGAGAGAGAGAGAGAGAGAGCTGATGGCAGGGCGTACAGAGGTGTAAGGGCCACCTGCAGAGATTGGAGGTGGCAGGGAGGGCAGGCTCCAGGACAAAAAGAGGGCATTGCTGCTGACAGCCACAAGCCAGTGCCGGGGGCCAGGGTGGATGTGATGTGCAGGCTGAAGGGGGGGCAGTACTCCTGTGGGGGCTGGTGCGTGGGCTGAGAAGGGGCCACAGCCTGGGGACGGATGCTGGGGTGTCCCCGTGCCCCCGCAGACACCCGGGACTACATCTGTGAATTCTGCGCCCGGTCTTTCCGCACCAGCAGCAACCTGGTCATCCACCAGCGCATCCACACTGGGGAGAAGCCCCTGCAGTGAGTGTGGGGCTGGGTGTTGAAGGACGGGGCTGGCGGGACACTCAGGCAGCTGCGCTGAGGCCCCTCTCTTCTGTCTGCTGGTCTTCCTGGCTCAGGTGTGAAATCTGCGGGTTCACGTGCCGCCAGAAGGCCTCCCTGAACTGGCACCGGCGCAAGCACGCAGAGACGGCAGCCACCCTGCGCTTTCCCTGCGAGGTCTGCGGCAAGCGCTTTGAGAAGCCAGACAGTGTTGCGGCTCACTGCAGCAAGAGCCACCCGGCTGTGCTCCTGGCTTCCTCAGAGCGGCCGGGGCCAGAGGAGCCCTGTTCCAGCACCTCTGGCCCTGCGTTCCTGGGGTCCAATGATGAGTGCAGGCCGCCTCAAGTTCCTCAGGCTCTGACCCTGCTTCCTAAGCACTGACCACAGAGGCTGAAGAGCAGCAATGCCAGACACTTGGTTCCTGGGGACTCGGGCGATGGGAAGGAAGTACAGGGCAGGGCTGGATTCCAGGACAGCCAGGCTCCAGTAGTCTTCCTACAGGACAGAATAAACCCAGTATTTTACAGGGACATGTGTGGGCTGAGTGAGTGTTTTCACACTTGAGGCACAGGATTCCCCTTCCTTTGGAGGCTCTCTGCTAGGTAAGCAGCTCAGGTGCGAGCCCTGTACTGCTCGGCAGGCCCCCGCCTCAAGGACCCAGCTTTCCCAACTTGCCTGGGCACTGCTGCCCTTTCCCGGGGAGTGTCACACCCTCTCCTGCACTGGAGCAGGCCAGGCCCTGGGCAGGGAGCGCACTGGGCCATCCCAGAGGTGTGGAGAAGCAGGTACACAGGCATGTGACCCTGCTCTGCACTGACCTGGAGAAGCCAATGTGCAGGCCCCAAGAGTCTGGCCTCCCAGTGCAAAATCAAGGGGCTGTGCAGCAGCATTGTGAGCTGCCTTGGGAAGGGCAAGACCTAGGACTTTGGCGTGGGCCTGGTTCTCAGGTCCCTTCTCAAGTCTGCATACATACACCTCTTTTATTTCACTATCGACAGCAGTAAACTGCTGGCTCAGGAAGGTGCCACGCTGCCCAGTTGCCTCTGTGGAGCTCTGAGCTTAATTCAGGTGTTCCACCTGGCTGGAGAATATTGTCCTCACAGGCACCAGACACCATTAAGTCTGTCTCCTGGGACAGGTGAGCAGCCATGCTGAAGGCTCCCACCTGCTTTCACAAGGACAGGCCACCTCTCCAAGGTAGTGGGCTGGTGCTTCTGGTGTACAGATGGCCTTCCATGAGGCAAGCTTCCCACCATTTCTGCCTGCAAATTTCCAATCTCAGAAGCTCAGGGAGGAAGCAACAAAGGCTAACAGTCGATTGGAACCATGAGGCAGGAAGGGCAGGTAGAATGAAACTGTAGCTACATCTGTGATCATTACCTGAAGAGGTAGGACATCAAAAGTGCCCATGCAGTAACCTGGCCAGGTAGCTCAGCTGGTTAGAGCCTTGTCCCAACAAGCCAAGGTTGCAGATTCAATCCCTGGTCAGGGCACATGCAAGAATCCGTCAATGAATGCATAGATAAGTGGGACAACAAATCAATGTTTCTGTCTCTCCCTTTCTGAAACTTTTTTTTTTTTAAATACCCAAGCAGGAGAGGTAGAGGACACTTAGGCTGGAAAAAGATGGGACAGAAGGAACAACCCAAGTAGGGAGATAGCAAAGAAACACCTGAAGCACAGGCTGTGAGGCATCCAGCCCTAGGTTCTGACGCATGTGGACCTAGGGACTTGTCCCGAGTACACCACCAACTCCGAGCCCTTCCCCCTGCCCCGCTCCCGCCAGAGGAAACAGGACTGAGTAAGGGACAGGGCTGACAAGTTGAGTGTAGGGACGTGTCAGGAGGCGGCACAAAAGGCTACCGCCTGTGGTCGGTAAAGGTGACAGGCTGTGCTCTGCACACAGATCCCGCTTTGTGAGCTGGCCTGTCCTCGCTGACACTGTCCTTGCCCAGCACAGTCCGGGGGAAGCCTCAGCAAGGTTCCTTGGCTGGGAAGCGAAACGCCCCTGCTTGCACTGCACTGCTTACACAGCCAAGGTGAGGGCGGTGGCTGGGTTGTTTTGGGTGGAGGCAGAAGGGGCGCAAGCACACGTGTAGGCCCACTGGTGTTGCGAGAGCGAGCAGCTGTGGCTGGAGCACTTGACACCACATTGTGAGGCCCGCTGGCCTAGGTGCATCTTGTGGTGCAGCGCCCGCCTGGAGCCCATGCCGGAGGCCTTGCCACACTGGAGGGGTTTGTGGGCCCTGTGGTTGCGCTGGTGCACATTGAGCTCGAGCACACACGTGAAGTGCTTGCTGCACGACTCGCAGCAGTAGGGCTTCTCTCCCGTGTGCGGGCGCCGGTGCTTGGTGAGGTCCGAGTGGTCACTGTAGCTGCAGGCACACTCCAGACGTGGGAAGGGCCTCTCCACTGTGTGGATGCGCTGGTGCACCAGCAGGTCAGAGCACTGGAGGAAGCCCTTGCAGCACATGGTGCGGGTGTGCAGCTGCACGCCCTGGTGGCTGTGCATGTGTGGACTTCTCACTGAAGCAGTGCCCACAGTCACCGCATATGTAGGGTTTCTCCCCAGTGCGCGTGTGATGCAGCTGCACCAGCGTGGCACTCTCTGGGAAGCCCTTGCCACAGTCGGAGCACCTGAAGGGCTTCTCGCCCAAATGCCTTTGCAGGTGTCGTCAGCATGGTGCTCTTGCGGAAAGCTGTTGCCACACGTGACGCAACGTGTGTGTTGGAAGAGCGCAACTACTGGGGAGCGGGGTCACTGGGGCTACAGGCCGCGTGGCTGCGTGTATGGCTCTGCAACCCTGCGCCGCTGCACAGGGCCCCGCCCTGCCCTCCCCCGGCCCCCCGCCCCCAACCCCGCGCACTGTGCGCAGCAGCAGGGAGCACTAGCGGGCACTTCCCTCGGGTGCACCCACGCCCGGTGGAAATGCAGCGCACACTGATGGAAGACCTGCTCGCGTGTGAGCCCGCTTGGGCGGTGCAACTGCAAAGCCAGAGCGGGCGGTGTGGGAAGGGACGGCCACAGGCACTACAGGGGCAAGGAAGGCGGGCTACCGATGCACACCCTGGTGCAGGCCGCGGCGCCTACTGTTACTGAAGCTCTGGCCGCACTCCTTGCAGATATGAGCGTTTGGCCAGCGTGGGTGCATGGACACACCTGAAGCTCTGCTGCCTGGCACAACGCCGGCCACAGTGCAGGCAGCGGACGCGGCAGTCGCCGCCGCCACCACCGCTGCTGGGGAGCGCTCTGCCTCAGCGGCACCGAACTGTAGGGGAAGCTCCCGCCACACTCACCGCCTCTGTGCGTCATGCCCACCCCCGCTTCTGATGCAGCAAACCTGGAGAGAAAGCTGCAGGGTCCGCCTTCTGAAGCTGCGGGTTATTTTCCGTTTTCTTCCTTTTTTCCTTTTATATTTTCACTTTATTTGTTAAATGGGGATAACAATAATATTTGTTAATTTGAACAAAGTAAGCACTCAACAACAAATGCTAGCAAATAAAAAAGTATCCGGCAGAGGAGAGTAAAAGGGAGAAAATGGGGACAACTGTAATTGAACAATAAAAAGAAAAAAAAGTAGAAAGTATAAGCCAATATACATTTGTGCTTATATTTCTAATAAATATTGCCAACTTTCTTTCAAAAGGTGCATCAAATTATACTTGTACCAATGTTCCAAGCCTTTTTTTATTTTTAATATATATTTTATTGATTATGCTATTACAGTTGTCCCGTTTTTCTTCCCTCCTTTATTTCTCTCCGCCCTGCACCTCCCATCACCCCCCTCCTCCCGCCCTTAGTTCATGTCCGTGGGTTGCACATGGAAGTTCTTTGGCTTCTCCATTTCTATACTATTCTTAACCTCCCCCTGTCTAATTTGTACCTACCATTAATGCTGTTTATTCCCTGTACCTCCCCCCACCCCATCTCCAATTATATGATTCTGTTCCTGTTGTAGTTGTTTGCTTAGTTAGTTTTTGTTTTAGGTTCAGTTGTTGGTAGCTGTGAGTTTGTTGTCATTTTATTGTTCATAGTTTTTGATCTTCTTTTGTGTAGATAAAGCCCTTTAACATTTCATATAATAAGGGCTTGGTGATGATGAGCTCCTTAAACTTGACCTTGTCTGGGAAGCACTTTCTCTGCCCTTCCATTCTAAATGAGAGCTCTGCTGGAGAGAGTGATCTTGGATGTAGGTCCTCTCCGTTCATGACTTCGAATGCTTCTTGCCAGCCCCTTCTTGCCTGCAAGGTTTCTTTTGAGAAATCAGTTGATAGGCTATGGAAACTCCTTTGTAGGTAACTGTCTCCTTTTCTCTTGCTGCTTTTAAGATTCTCTCCTTATCTTCAATCTTGGGTAATGTAATGATGCTGTGCCTTGGTATGTGCTTCCTTGGGTCCAACTTCTTTGGGACTCTGAGCTTCCTGGAACTCCTGGAAGTCTATTTCCTTGGCCAGAACTTGGGGAACTTGGGAAAGTTCTCCATTATTTTTTCCAATAAGTTTTCAATGTCTTGCTTTTCTTCTTCTCCTTCTGGCACCGCTGTGATTAAGCTGTTGGAACGTTTAAAGTTGCCCTGGAGGTTCCTAAGCCTCTCCTCATATTTTTGAAGTCTTGTTTCTTGCTTCTGTTCTGGTCAAATGTTTATCTCTTCCTTCTGCTCCCAGTCATTGATTTGGAGTCTCAGTTTCCTTCCCTTTACTGTTGGTTTCCTGTATATTTTTCTTTATTTCACTTTATATAGCCTTCACTTTTTCCTCCATTTTACAACCAAACTCAAGCATTTCTGTGAGCATCCTGATTACCAGTGTTTTGAACTGTGCGTCTGATAGGCTATCTGGTCATCGCTTAGTTCAGTTTTTGGAGCTTTGATCTTTTTCATTTGGGTCATATTTCTTTGTCTCAGTGCGCCTGTTATGTTGAGAGGGACAGAGCCTTAGGTATTCGCCAGGGCCCGGCAACCCACGTCGATGAGTTGTGACACTGTCTGTGGGGGAGGGGTCCGAGAGGGAACAGTGCTGCTTTCTCTGCTCTCGGCCGACTTTCAGTCACTTCCCCCGCTACCCACAAGCAAATCGGGCCCTTCTAGTGCTGATTCCCAGGTGGGTGGATTTGTGTACATTCTGGGACCCCGTGGTCTCTCCAATGGACTCTCCTGTGAGGCTGGAAGTTTCTCCTGCTGCTGCAACCCCCACGGGTTTTTACCTCCAGAGGTTTTGAGGCTTTCTTTTCCTGCACTGGAACCCTGGGTTGCACCGTCTGTTTTGCTCCCTAGCTCTTCCTCCCAGTTTATCCACATGCAAATGTGGGACCACCCAGTCCGCCAGCCACCATGTTGCCACATCTCCTCTCCACTCCAGCTGCCCGTCTCCGCCCCTCCTACCCGTCTGGATGAATGTTTCTTTAGCTCCTTGGATGTTGGACTTCCACACAGTTCAATTTTCTGGCAGTTCTGGTTTCTTTTTGTTTTTAAATTTGTTGTTGTCCTTCTTTTGGTTGTGCAAGGAGGCAAAGTGTATGCACC